TTGCCCCAAGCTTTGAGAAAAATCCATCGCATGATGCACTCCACTACATCCATCACGTCCCTCTTCTCCTTCACCAGTCCAGCTGTGAAAAGGCTGCTGGGCTGGAAACAAGGAGACGAGGAGGAAAAGTGGGCAGAAAAGGCTGTGGATTCCCTCGTAAAGAAGCTCAAGAAGAAAAAAGGGGCCATGGAAGAGCTGGAAAAGGCTCTGAGCTGTCCTGGCCAGCCCAGTAAATGCGTTACCATTCCTCGGTCCCTGGACGGAAGGCTCCAGGTGTCCCATCGTAAAGGTCTGCCACATGTTATCTACTGCAGAGTGTGGCGCTGGCCGGATCTTCAGTCCCACCACGAGCTCAAAGCGCTGGACTGCTGCGAGTTTCCTTTCGGCTCCAAGCAAAAAGATATCTGCATCAATCCATATCATTACCGCCGTGTGGAGACGCCAGGTCGAAATCAATACACAAACCACTTATCTTGTTTTTTTTCTTCTTCATATCGATTATCGCTTCATGCATCTGTAAGTAACTTTTCTTGCTTTTTTTCAAACAGTTCTACCCCCGGTTCTTGTGCCACGTCACAGTGAGTTCAATCCCCAGCACAGCTTATTGGCAAAGTTCCGAAATGCTTCCCTACACAACGAGCCTCTCATGCCCCAGAATGCCACTTACCCAGACTCCTTCCCAGCGATGCCCTGTAGCTCATTCTCTTCATCCCCCTCCAGCTCTTTAAACCAGTCCCCGACTGCGCACAGCTACCCCAACTCCCCCAGCAGTGGGCCCGACCCTGGGAGCCCCTACCAAATTACAGGTACAACAAAGGAACAATGATTTCTCAAGCATTTTATTTGATGACAATCGTCTTGGTCATTCAAAAACGTGTTCTCCTTCCACAGCAGAGACGCCTCCACCACCCTACAGTATGATGGAGACCTCTCCATCTGAGGGTGTGAAACCAGGGGAGTCCTCCAATGCCAATAAACTCATTCTGTCAGCCCCACACAGAGGTGAGACACTAGACTAAATATACTTACTGTGCATTGTGTACATTGAAATGTGAAAAAGTTGTGAACACACCTACTCATTTACAGTGTTGTTGTTATTAACTAAAACTGTTAAAAATAGTTTTTGTTCATTGATAGAAAGCGGAAATAAAATAAAAAGTTAATAATTAGATGAAAATAAACTTCAAATTAAAAATTGAAAACAAAAATTAGAAATATTCACTTGACTAACAACTAACTGAAATTAAAAACAATACTCCGAATTATTAAAACTGAAATAAAATTTCAACTAATAGAAATATTTGAAGAATAATGACTAAATGAAAATGAAAAACTGAAAATATAAAAATAAAAGCTAATTCAAAATATTAATAAATACTAAAATAGTATAGAAGTATTACTAAAATAATTCATTTTAGAATAAAACTCATCAAAACTATGAAATAACACTAATGGAAATTAAATATGTAGTGACAAAAATGTTAAGTAATTTTATAAAACATTGAAACTGAGCAAATCAGAATCCACCAAGCTTTAAACAGCCTGAGTATTTAACTCTGCGAATGACAAAACTGCAGCAAGCACTTATAATAAACAGAATGTTATTATTATGCATTGGTGCAGATGCTAATATAGTTACTAGTATTATAGTTCTCTTTATAGTTATTGTTCTTGGTGTTAACGGGCCTTAACCTATCCATTTAATTTATTAAAGAAATCTCCATTTATATTTGCATATATCATATCTCTAAACTTCTAATTTCAAGCTTTTAAGCATGAACCAGATGAAAAGTTTTTTTTTTAAATCATGAGAAAAATTTATCCAATCTGGTGTGCCCAAACAATGAAAGTGTAATCATGATAACATTATTTCTAATTAAAATGCATCGTGAAAATGGAATGAATCTGAATACTATGAGGTATTATACATTTTTTTTCCAGACTTGAGGCCGGTGTGTTATGAGGAACCAGAATACTGGTGTTCAGTGGCGTATTATGAACTAAACAACAGGGTGGGTGAGACGTTCCATGCCTCTTCCAGGAGCATCCTCGTGGACGGCTTCACAGACCCCTCCAACAACAAGAACCGCTTCTGCCTCGGATTACTATCCAACGTCAACCGAAACTCCACCATTGAACACACTCGCAGACACATAGGCAAAGGTTTGTTGAAAGTTTTACATTTCTGTTTTGTTTTTTTGTTTTTTTGTCTTTGATGAGGTTTTTGAGATCAAAAATAGACAGAAAACACAGTTGTTCTGAGAAGATCAAGCTGCTGATAATCTTCCTTCAGTGGATTAAATTCCAAGAGAAGGTCATTAAAACAACTGAAATCACCACTTGCTAGACACTGTTTAGTGCTGGCCAGTCAACACTGCACTTCAGAAAGCCAGCGAGACAGATAGGGTCCACATTATCCAAATGTTGGCTTTTCTCAGGGCACTAGATGAGCGTCACTGTGCCAGTTTTGGAAAGACATTAAATGTTGCCATAGGTTACAGCAGTGACAGGGAAGAGTATGCACACATACACATGCTGGGCACAGATGGACGGAGGCCAAGTTTGAGTTCCATCTACTTGTGTGAGAGATCCTGGTGGGAAGAGCGCCAAGGACAGCGACACAAACCAGATCAGGATGCTTCAGGAGAATGGAGATTATTAAGGTTTCCGCTTGGCACGTGATAAAACGTGATGAATGCTGGGTTTGGAGATTGTGATTTCTGGGATTTACTAAGTTCAAAGATGGATATACTGTTTTATGTGTCAACTTTGTGCTTTGTAGAAATTGTTAGATGTTACTTTTATTCTTTTTGTTGACCTGTAAAGCAGTGTTATTTTAGCATTATTTATGTACTGTTATACTTCTTTATAAATATTTAAAATTAGCTTTAATTTTTTCAGTTTATATTTTAATTTTACTTTTATTTTGTATAATTTAATGTGCATTTGTTTTTGTGCTTCTTTTTTAATATTACTATTTAAGTTGAAAGTATTTGTATTTTTTTACGAGTTTAATTTATTTTTACTTCCGTCTGAGATTTGAATTTATTTCCACTTAGTAAATTTAGTGCTTCAGCTTAATTGTATTTCAGTTAGTTGCCAAGACAATATTTCAAAAATTTTTATTTTTTTTCAACTTTATTTAAATTAACAAAATGTTTTTAATAGTTTTCATTATAGTTAACAATAATAACCCTGCTAAATGTGTCTTAAATGCTAATGGTATCTCTCTATATTGAAAATCCTAAATCTGACTTTCTTGTTTTCAAGAAAATGCCATTATTATGGAAACGAAATATATAAGAATAAGCAAAATGCACTGTTGTATAATTTATAAACTCATAAAAGTTACTGGTTACATACTAGAATGGAATGAGACTGAACACTAGTTTACAAAAATAATGACTTGTAAAAAAATTTTTTTAAATAACTTATTGAATATTGGTTAAGTGATACCAGTGGATCTAGAAAGCTCTTTTAGAAAAAGAACATTTGGAACAATTTTATCAGTTTTTGGAATACAATTAATAAGTGAGTTAAAAGTACATTTTGATTTAATTTTCATGACTTTAAATGATAAATGTGCAATTATTAACTCATTTTTAAAGTCTTCTTCTTTTGTTTTAGGTGTGCACTTGTATTACATCGGAGGAGAGGTGTATGCAGAGTGTCTGAGTGACAGCAGTATTTTCGTACAGAGTCGGAACTGTAACCACCAGCACGGTTTCCATCCCACCACCGTCTGCAAGATCCCGAGTGGATGCAGCCTGAAGATCTTCAACAACCAGCTGTTTGCCCAGCTGCTGTCACAGTCTGTCAATCACGGCTTCGAGGTGGTGTATGAACTTACCAAGATGTGCACCATCAGGATGAGCTTTGTCAAGGTAAAGAGGTTTATATAGAATATATAGAAGAGCGACTAATAAAGGTCATGTTAACACCCTGGCAGCCACCTAGAACAGCATAGGAACACCCTGCCTACCACCAGCAGAAGAGCCAACTCATTAGAGTCACTAGTCAAATCTGCACTGGGAATAAAATTACACTGGTTCTAAGGTATGCTTCTGATTCACTTGAAAGAACTGAATCATTAGAGTCTTTCCTTTGGGAATCAGTCTACACTGGTTGTCCTAGATGCATTTGATTCACCTAGAAGAACCGGCTCATAAGAGTCATTTGTTCGGAAATCAGATTACACTGGTTGCACTGTATGCTTTTGATTCGCTATCGCAAATTCAGAAAGGTCATCAACGTCATTCACAAGCTAACAGCTCTTGAGGTGCTTAGCACTTCCAAACCGAAAATCTATGTGTTGCTATGCAAACTTAATATGTAGTTATTCTAATCTCTGGCTTGCTGTTTTATGGATGTTGCTCTGCCAAAACACACTGCAGATCCCATAGCTCTAGAGACTGATACGACACATACCATTTTCCCTGCTTGATTTATATGCATCCAGACAAAAAAACACAATAAATCGATTGTGTTAATTTCTAAGCTAAAATATGAATTAAACGCAAGGTTTGGGGAAACAAGTTTGCAATTCTTTTTGTAATTCCTTTAGGTGCTGCTGGTCAATTGGAAATTAAATATTGTTGTTGATTTGCTTTTAAAACCTGCTTGCTGCTTTAGACGTTGTATAAACACGCCCAAGTATTGAGAATGAAATCTGTCCTCTTCCCAGGGCTGGGGAGCCGAGTACCACCGTCAGGATGTCACCAGCACCCCCTGCTGGATAGAAATCCACCTGAATGGGCCGCTGCAGTGGCTAGACAAAGTTCTGACCCAGATGGGCTCCCCACACAATCCTATTTCCTCTGTGTCCTAATGCATTACAGAACAAGGGGAATATAGTTCTCCAATAGACTTTTATAGCGCCCCAAGACCCATAATGCTCTTTCTCTTGTGAAAATATGTCTTTTCAGTGGATGTTTATTGTACTGCATATATGTACAATATCATGCTGTTAAGTAAGCAGTAGTTAGATAAGTGTTGCAATGATTTTAATAAAGAAAAAACACTACTACTTCACAGTATGTAGTAGCTGAGATCAATTCAGACAGAAACTCTCCAATAGGAAGCCAAAGAAATGTGTCAGGCAGGTACTTGTTCTGGAAATGGTTTATTTGTGTCATATTTTGGCTAATATGTGTCTTCTATAACATTTCATGTTGTTTTGCATTTGCGTTAGCTTTCTTGTTCTTGTAATACAAAACACTCCCTTCTATTTCTGCCTGTTTATTTTCTGACCGGAAAAATCCTTAAGTATTAATGCTTTTAAAGCTGAAAACTGCACAAGATCAATAAAACGTCATTGGAACGCCCTCAGCAACTTACTGAGTTTACACCATGTTTAAAATAATAATAAAGTGTGGCAAATGTGTGTGTGGCAAAAAAGGTGAAACTAAACTGTAGCTTTCACTGGTGACATTATTACAGATAGGATTGATCACTAAAAAATCTTTTGATAACAGCTGCCATTTCATATTTTCTATCAATAATTTAAAAATCCTAAAAGACACTACATGTGGCCGAACAGGGTGCTTATTCAAATGGATTGTTGATATATAGTAGATTTAGCTGCTAATTCATTTCATGATCTCAAAGAGATTGATGATGACAGAAGTACTTCAGATCGATCAGATCCTTGTCAAATATCCAAGTTTTCAGAATGCAGTGTTGATAGTCTCCTCACCATCAAGGATGGCTGTAGGTCACAGATGCTAATGGTTCTCACATGAGTATAGAATACTGGCGTTGTAAAAATGTCATTGAAAATGTGTCTGCATTAAATCGTCAACAGGATGAGTAAAACATCTTCAGTCTTCAGTAGTTGTGCTGTGTTTGAGCTCGATTCTGTGTGGTCAGTAAACGCTGCTGCCGCTGAAGGAAACTGATGACTTCTGGACTCCTCAGCAGAGACTGAAACCCAAAAACAACACAACATGAGCTGATGGTAAGTCACCTTGCTATGAAACAATACTGGGCTAATATGAATATTAATGGCATTCATATTACAAATAAAAGACACCTATGACATTTTGAAATTATATAAAATTCACTAACCCAATGAAACAAAGTACAGCTGACAAACAATCAGTCAATCAATACACACACACACACACATATATATATATACACATGCATACATATTTATGCATATGTGGGATCCTGGGGATGCATATTTAAAATCTGAAAAACTAATGAACTTTCAAAAAAAGGTATTTATTTATTATTTATATAGATTTATTTTGCATTGCATATAATATAACATTTTTGTGATTTTTTTTTTTGTCCCTAATGCCTTGTATAACATATGTATGTATGACAGATTGATTTATAAAAAGAAAAAAAAAAACTTAATTCAAATTCCATCTTCACATGACTACATGAATTATGAATTAACTACTCTAATAACCACACACCTCTGCACATTATCATTAACTAAAACTAATACTATTAAAAATGTTTGTTAATTGAAATAAAACTGAAATAAAGGAACACAGATATTAGATGAAAAACTTAAAACGATGAAAGTATTTTTGTCAGTAATTAGTAAATGTGGCCTTGGTAATTAAATTAAGTAGGTTTAAGTTTAAGTGCTAAAATTACTAACTGGAAACAAATAAAAGGTACAACTTTAAAATAAGATTTCATTCAACTACAAAAATATAAAAACAATTCAGAATAGTAATAAAAACTATTATAGTAAACTGTAATAATAGTATATGGATAACACTAAAATAACACTTCCCTGCACCCATGGCATTCTGTCAATTGGGAGTATATGACTAAAACTAATGATTACTATATTACAAAAACCCAAAAAAGTGTTTAATGCTCTTACCAGTCTCTTCTGGTTCAGCACCTGCTCAATGAGGGACGGTCTGGCGGGTCTGTCTCCTATGGTACCCAGCCGTTGTTTAGTAACAGATACAGGCCTCTCCTCCGAACTCTCCTTCACATCACGAACAAATAAAATTATTTGAAATAAGCCTAGAAAGTTGGGATAAAAGATAATTTAATGCATCAACTGAAGCTGTCATTTATCCCAAATGAACATTTCTTACTTCTAGTTTTCCCGACGACATGGCCTGGTCGCTTTTCTTTTTCTTGTACTTGTCCTTGTACATTTTATTCCGGTGTTTTTTGCACATCCAGGGCTTCCTGGCTTTGGCCACCTGCGTCGTGGTCTCGGTGCAGCCGTCATAGATGCAGGTCTTGGGCACGTTCTCGCTCTCTCCGGACGTCTCGTCGTCGTTGAGCTCCTCCGGACTGACCGCGCCGTCTTTCGCCTCCGGCGCGTCGCTCTCTTCGCCCGGATCTTCCGCGTCGTACGGGAAGCTCTCCTGGTCCTGGTCGTTGCTGTCCGCGGCTGCCGAGTTTTGGCCGTCTTTACCCGCGTGTGCTAAACTAAGATGAACGTTGTCGCTCATTTTTGTCTGTTTAGAGTAAAACCCAAATTCCCACCTGTCATCCGACCTTTATGAACGTACTGACCAGACTTGCCTTTTTTTGTGAACTCGGCACAGAATAAATTATTGTTAAGCTGATTTTTATATGACTGTCATTAAAAATGCCATATTTTTTAATAAAAGTAACCCAATAGATATATAAAAAAACGGAAAAATATGAGGAATGAATATGTGAAGAACTCCTGTCATGACAAAAACAAAACAGCGATGGCCGCTGCAGAAAGACAGACTCGCCTGTGTGATACCTCCGGACTGACCGCGCCGTCTCTCGCCTCCGGCGCGTCGCTCTCTTCGCCCGGATCTTCCGCGTCGTACGGGAAGCTCTCCTGGTCCTGGTCGTTGCTGTCCGCGGCTGCCGAGGTTTGGCCGTCTTTACCCGTGTTTGCTAAACTAAGATGAACGTTGTCGCTCAGTATCTCATAATTTTATGATTCTTATCTCATTATCTCATACTTGTGACTTATATATATATATATATATTTATTTTTTTATTTTTTGTGGCAGAAATGGGCTTCCACAGTTTTTGTTCTGTTCTGTTCTAAAATGACAGTTAAATATAAAAGTATTGGTTTTAAATTATATTACATTATTTTGATTTACAAATTACAGAAAGTATTTGGACATTTTTTCTAGTTGTCGAACATTATTGGATCCTGTCCATAGTTAACAGACCTGTGAGCTGTGTGAACCTAAGTGAAACTGGCTTTATAAAAATCACCTTAACACGCAAGTACATGCAAAGGTGAGTTTTAAACAATAAATCTATTATGATCTGTTTCCTATATTTTATTTATATTGCAATGGAATTCATGCATTTATAAGTGTACCTGAAGTATTTAAATCGTTTTGGGGGCCACTGTATGCTGTTCCTTTTCATTATGATGAATGATTTTTTTTTTGCTTGGTGAATTAAAGTCATGATTATTATGCATATTTTATGAGCAAATCAGATTTTATTCAAGGCTTCCAAGGGATGAGATGTTGTATTCTTGATGTTTTAAAGTATATTCTTGTATGAAAATGTCGTCATATTGTCAAATATAATTTTCATTATGACAGAGTCAGCATGACAGTTTTTCTATTTCTATTTATGTACATAATGTGATTGATATACACAAGTCATTAATAGGCCTATTTTTCCAAAATCATACAAAGCCTTCATGATAATGCTTCAGTACAGTCTATTTCAATACAAGATCTGCTGCGGTTTATTTATTTGAAGTTATACACGGTTGGTGGAATTATTTACTCTGAATAATATTAATGAAAATGACACTGATAATAATGATAAATATTTAAAGTACTTGCTAAAATATTTCTAAACTTCTAGAATGTCAGTACATTGAGACATGTGTAATCGATCTGTCTTTCTCAGCTGTCAGGACAGCGATGACACTGTTGATCTCTGTGAGGAGATGCTGCAGATCTCCATGTTAGTGAAGGAGCTCCCGGCCTCACTGCCGCATTCTGGATATGAAGCGCTGGAGGATATGATGTTCTTCAGCCTGTGGAGAGCAATGATCAGCAGGGTAAGCAGGAAGAGCAGCAAGCTGAGGAAGATGGAGACGTAGACGTAAACATTGGCAGTCCGTCCGTATGAGGCAGCGGCCGCCCCGGTAGAAACAGACGTAGGGCTGAACCTCAGGAAACTCTCGCTGTCCACTTCCGTACCATTTATCTCCTCCACAGTCCCATCCATCCCAGACATATCTGCTGGATTTGGGAATCTGATGGGAAGATAGGATAGATAAGGATAGATAAATTATTATTTACAGGCACATTTTTTTCAATTAGTTTGCTGTTTTGTAAATTAAAATATTATTACTATTTACTTAAACCTCTGGGATTAAGTTCATGTGAACATATGATTGGGATCATACAGAACATATTTTATATTATTTTTTATTTAATATTAATATTTTTAATATTACTGGATACAATAATGATGTTACATTGATCCCACTAATGGTGTACTGTAGTATCCATAACATGTTTCATTTATGAAGTATTGATTAATACTAGTATTTAGCATTTAATAATACTAATAATTTATATTTTATTCTATTCTATTACAATTATATATTCTATTAAAATATAAACAAATTTATATTATATTATATTACAATATATTATAATTAATATATTATGATATATTAGAAGCATTTGAATATATGAGATCATACAGGGATCATACAGAAGATATTTTAAAATATTATTAGACACATTAATGTTATTCCATTCGGCCTGGAGCATTTGTTAGGTCAAATTTTAATATGCTGATTTAATTTATGGAATATTTAATGAATTATAAATAGTAACAAACCAAATCACTTATTAAATGTATTAAATAGAGCATTAATATTAAAATATTTATTGTTGATATTAATGTATTATTTTAATAATAAATGAATAATATATTAAATGATAAAATACAAATGATTATAATATAATCACATCATTTATTAAAATATATGAAAAATATATGTATTCTGATATTTTATCAAGAATATCAGCTCCTAAACACTTTTTTTCCAAGACATTTTCCAAAGTGCAACCAATGCACAATCCGTTGCCTTCCACTTCTTGACCAATGCATCATCATAATAAGAATATTGTGACATATTGCTATTCATCTAACAGGCCAGTCATATTTTATGTCAAACCTCCAGAGTTCACTGACACACAGCTGACTATTTCCTTAACTGACCTCTGTCTTTGATGAATGTTGAATTTGTATGGTTCAGAAAAACACAACAACAACAACCAGAACACTTACATACTTCAGATTGAATGTGAAGAGGATAATAATCACATTTAATTATGCTTTTTGTATCCAGGCAACCTGCATATCAGTGGGCTCGTAAGCTGGTGCGGGTTGTTGATAGGCCACCGCCGGTCCATTAGGACTTTGGGGTGGTCAAATCGGCTCAGTGGTGCACACAGAAGGTCAGTCTGTTGTTTACACAGCATGCATACTCGCACCTCATGAATAATAGATTGAGAGGTACCCGAGCAGGACAATGTCACAGAGTTTCCCAATTTAAAGAGAACAACATGCCAAATCATTTGTTTGACAGGCTGTCGGTGTCAAAAAATGCTGTCTTTGTTTGGGGCCATTCAAAATCTGAGCTTATACAAGACCAACATGCATGCAAGTTTTTCATATTTACAAGCAGCGGCACATGATTCACATTCAGCTCCCCTGAGACGAGAACAATTTAGCGGAGGTCACCTCAGCTGTGTGAGAATCAATGCATAAGCGAGCATGTGCGCTTGTTCTGTAGATGCATTAGTGTGGAAATGAGCTACATCTTCACCATCTGGTTACAGGTCAATATGTGGCTTTTTATTATGTGTTCTTTCACATACATTGTTCTTTATCATTAAATGGCGATCAAAAATGTAGTTTAAATTTGAATTATTAAAAATAATGGTAACACTTTACAGTATAAGGTCTCCTTTGCTGATGTTAATGTTAGTTAATAAAAACTGGGAAGGTTACTTTAGAAATGTAACAGGTTACATATTACAAGTTACCCTATTTAAAGTAAGTAAGTAAGTAGCGTAACCATTTCAATCACTTTATTAAAGTAATGTAACTGATTACATTTGGGTTACTTTTCTAAATTTCTGACGAATGTTTTCAACTGTTAATCACTTTCAGGGTTAACCTTACAGTAGTACTCAACACTGATTACAGTCAGACTTTCAAAATCCTTCATTTCTTGAATTAAAAAGCACAGCCAACACAAAATCAGACTTTAGCACCTCTTTTTACTTTGAGATCGTTTTGAGGTTAAACACATAACAAGAAATAGCAAATATTAATACAAGAAGTATTCAGATGCAAACCCCTTTGTAATCGTTAACATTGTCATAAGTAACTGTCATTTAATTACACATTAATTACACATTTTTACAGTTACTTTTATTTTGTAATTAAATTACGTAACGCTGTTATATGTAACTCCCAACACTGAATAAAAATGCATTGTTCATTGTTTGTTCACAACAGATAAAATTTTTTGATTTAATAAATGCATTAGTAAATTTTGAAATGTACATGAACTATTTACTTTGAAAAATGCAAAAAGTGTTTGCTCAAGTTAACTAATGCAATTAAAGGGATAGTTCACCCAAAAATAAAAATTCTGTCATCATTCACTCACGCTCAAGTTGTTCCAAACCGGCATGGACTTCTTTCCTCTGTTGACCACAAAAGAAGATATTTTGAAGAATGTGAGTAGCCAAACACTTTCTGGTCCCCACTGATTTCATAGTATTTTTTCCATTACTATAGAAGGCAATGGGAACCAACAATTGTTTAGTTACCCATATTCTTCAAAATGTCTTCTTTTATATTCAACAGAACAAAGAAACTCATACAAGTTTGGAAATACTTGAGGGTGAGTAAATGGCAGAATTTTCATTTTTGGGAGAACTTTCCCTCTAACTAAATTTTAACAAATGAGACCCTATTGTAAACCAAATAGATTTTACGAGCTGCAATATTGCAGATTCTTGCGATGTTCAGAATTTGTTTTCGAGAACCCTGAAAATTGTCCACAGATGTGCGGACAAAACAAGTGAAGTATTTTTAGTCTGCGGTTCACCTCACAACACAAAACGTGCTATTTGTTTGTTCGCCGGCATATTTCAGTCCCCTAAGATTCATTGTGTGTGACTACAGTCGTCTGAGCCACAGCGGGCCCTGAGAGCCTGTGGTTAGAGTCTCATAAAGGGTCATGATTTATGACCACTTCCTTTTTTTCTGAGATGCGTTCGTCTGCAGAGACACGCTAGGAGACAGCAACAAACGGGAAATCACACTTATTTTCCTGGACGGTTCCTCAGTCAACTTTAACGTTCCCCCCACCAGCTTTTCAATTTAGGAGTGAGATGAGAATCCCTGCGGCAATATAAATCATTCGATCCCTCTTGTGGTTTGCCTGCAATTCCAGGAGAAGTTCAGCGGGTCATTACGGTGTGCGGCTCTAATCTGTGTATATGGATTTCGTTTAGGGAAGCTTGTGGAAGGAGAATGTGGCTTTTAAGAAAATGACTCAAACATAAAGCTCCACAGAGGATGTCAGTGAACGAGGGGAGC